ACCACTCAAAATGAGTTACACACTCTATTTAACTCTATTTTTGGTGTAAGTTTCATCGAACGTATGTGACGATACACTTAGCAATCATATTCGTTAGCGTATACACAGACTCATATGCACGCAACGAAACATAACTCATTGAACGCATGCGGCAACGTACATATGTACTACACAATGTGTAGTACACATGTATCTCTTTTTTCACTGTGATGCGTTTACTTCGATGAAACTAACACCAAAAATAGAGTTAAATAGAGTGTGTAACTCATTTTGAGTGGTAAAGTCTCTACTAACACCGAAAGTGCGAGTAAGAGCGTACTCGAATACTTGTTTATGTGTAGTTGACGCTACATTCTATGTAATAAGCGTATATTTTCCACTTAGTCCGTTGCAACGGAAAACAAGTTTGCATAGAATGCAGCGCCAACTATATGTGAATTTTATTTTTTATCGTTTTAGGCAATAAATCTATGGTTTTCTTATGGCTTCTTTAATCCGAATCGATTTTCGCTCATTGTGTGATTTTAGAGAATATTAGTGAAGTGGACCACTGAGCTACCCCTGCATGCACAAATTCGGTGCGATGTGAATTTGTTATGCACAAATGATGCACAAAATATTACCACTGAGAAATTTCAAGAAATTTAATCCGAATCGATTTTCACTCATTGAGTGATTTTGGTGAATATTGTGGATTTGTTATGCACAAATTATGCACAAAAAAATGGTAAAGAAATTTTTTTATTTTTCCAATTATTTAAAAAAAAGTGGTGAATTTGTGTGGGAAAATTGACGTCAAATCGATTTTGATGCATTTTTTGCAGTGTACGACCGATCCGAAGGCATATTTGGCATGCACAAATTATGCACAAAAAAATGGCACAAAAATTTTTTCGATTTTTTGGCCATAGAAAAATGTTGAATTGCATCCAGAACCGAAATTCACCACAAAATATAAAGCTGAATAACTCATCAGCCATTTATGCACAAATTCTAAAAATGCATGCACAAATTCGCACAAATTATGCACAAAAAAATGGTATAGGTTTCAATAAGATACTCGAAAGTGACTTGCTGGAGAGTGTAAGCCCAAATTTAGTCCTGTAACTTTTTTTCTGGTGAGTCACAAATTCTAAAAATTGCGTCACAAATGTTCACTAATTAATCACTAAAATTATGTTAAGTTTGAGTCCAATCGGGTACTTCGACCTCCTGGGTAGTGTGCGCCTATTTTTTTTACATTTAACCATAGCTTTTGACAGTCGCGTTCCAGGAGGGGATAATTTCAAAATTTTTGAAAATTGTAAAGGAGTATTTTTTTCGATTTTTTTTCACTTAACTGACACATGCAGAAATTGATTTATTTCTTATTTATGGTGTACTATAATAATGACCCATAGTATTGGAGTTGCCCTCCGGGGAAAAACTCGATTTTTTTTACCTCCCTGAAAACCCAAATTTTTTGTATACACAAGGGGGTGCGAAAAAAATCGACATCATAAAAATATATCTTGTTGAGAAGATACGTAGCGGAAAAGCTATGGCTTTGGTATTATGGTTGTAACCCTTCACTTGTTTATGGGTAGAGAGCGATTATATATTTTCAATTTTTGATATCTTATCGTTTGACATCGAACAAATGGTTATTATATCTTAATAACTCTATTAAGCTTCAAAACACAAAATGAAATTTGGTGATTTTACAAGTGTGTTTTGTCAGAGTGGTGTCGACATCGGTGATAGTATTTTGAAACACACTTTTTAAGCAATTTTCATATGTTTGATGATCATGTCGTCCAAATAAATTTAAAAATATGTCCACTCATGTCGACGCCATCTAGCTCTTTCCTAATCTGAAAATGAGTGGGGAAAAGTTGCCAGTTTTTGGGTGGGGTTGTCATTTTTTCTCTGAAAATCTGCCCCGAGTGGAAAAACCCCCTAGACCCCCCTCATACTCAAGTTATTTTTCATTCCTCTATCGAATGGCATCAATGGTTTTGACCCCCCGACGAACCCCTTACCCCCTAGGGGTATTCTGGTTTGGACCTTCTAATCCCGATTTAAGGTCTTTGGGGTCGAAAAACCCACATGACCGGGGGTATTTTTCAGTGCTCTATTGATTGGCATCATTGGTTTTGACCCACCGACCGACCCCTCCTCACTTTGTGGGGCTACCTATTTCTCTTACCCCCCAAATATCTACAGACTCCCATTTGAGGGTCAAGGACACGAAAAACACCCCCAATACCCCCTCATACTCAAGGTATTTTTTGATGCCCAATCGATTGGCATCATTTATTTTGACCCCCTGACACCCCCTTACCCCCTTTTAGTTCCTATACACCAACCCCGGTTTAAGGTCCTTGGGGTGGAAATACCCTTATGTTCCTACACCCAAGGTAGTTTTCAGTGCTCAATCGATTGGCACCATTAGTTTTTTGACCCAAACCCCTTATTCCCTATAAACACCTTCTTCTATGTAAACCCAGACTGGTTCTTGGTCCCAATATATCAAATAAAAAACCTCTATCGAGGTGAAGAACGAGTGACGAAATTTTGAAACACAAAATTTCTGATATCAATTTTGTGACGAAAATAGTTGGTAGATTTGCATATATTACATTTATATTATACATTTGTATATTCCAGTGATGGTTTCTCGTTAGCCAGCATTGTCTTGGCCAGTTTATGAGTGACATACAACTCAGTGTATATATGTATGTATTAGTGCTAGTTTACACATTTGTTAGCCAATGTATACATTTGTGGCAGATTAGCCAGCTAATGTGCCCATCACTGGTATATTCAAAACGTTGCAAATGAAGCTCCGAATTTCCAAATGTATATTAAGTTTATATTCACCGCCGATGAGGTGAGATATTTTGAAATGTAATTTGAAATGTGTTTGAATCGAAACTCATTATTTTTTATTAATTTTAATTATGAAGGAAAACATCACAATACCAAACACGCAATTATACTCGGGAAACTCGGCAGAAACGAAGAGAAAAAGAGGCGAAAAAATTGGCTGGATGGTTTGATATCGAGGAAAAGAATCATCTGAAGTCATATCCATTCGGTTCCAGAAACTTGGCCATTTAGTTGTGAAAATGGAAGATGAATGGGGAACATCACAAACATGCGCGAATTGCCAAGAACGATTTCCAGTGAACATCGATTCAAAGTGTGCTATGGTTGCAAAGCGAAACCGATTGCGGACTACCGGCAATGAGAGAACTTTGAACCGACGGTGGCGCTCCAAATTTCAAAAGAGACGTCAAAGTAATTTAACAACTCAAATCGAAACTAAACAGCGCGACAATTTTAAAATTTGCCGTTATTTCCTCCCTTTGACTACCGGACATAGTCGTTAGTCTATCAGATATAATTGTGGCAACGGTTAACAAACGTGCTTTGCAAAAGGGACGGAAGGAAACAGAAGGAAATTAAGCGTCGAGTTCGCAATAGCAATTATCAGGATATGGGGGAAATACTTCAGAATAGGCGTTTAATGTCAAAGGTTAATGTTACCTACGAAAATTGGCCATTAAATATTCAGGATGATGATGCTGCTCCACAGACAGTTGTTTGGCACCATGACATTGTTGCTGCAAAATGCATTATGCTCGAAGGTATGAATCAATTGAGAATAGAGTTTATTCATTTTTTAATGTTTTTGCTTCAAATTACACAGGACTTTGTCGAATATTTGATATTTGGCGTACTAGTGCCTGATTCGTTGAGAAGACCACCAAATGCAAACAATGGCAACTGACAAACAGCAGTAATGAGTGCATAAATTATTAGATAAAGCAAATATTATAACGATTACACGCTAGGCTTGAAACAATTTGTGTTACACAAATTTTGTGGCTTTTTTGTGCGTTCATGCCTGACGTTAGCTGCTTACTCTGATTCGGCTGGCTGAAAATATCCAAACATAATGTCTGTATGAAGGTCATCTTTTAGGTTAAACAGCACAATATTTTGTGTTGTATTACTTTAATGCTTCTGACCTTTTGTTTTGAAAATAAGCACATCTTCAAAAAAATAAATAAATGAAAATACATCGTTTGTTTGACTTTCTCAATCTCTTTTATTTATTTAATTTAACTTAAAACTTTAGATCATTCTTCGCAATCGGATTTCTTCCAAATGTTCTTGAACATTTACCACGTCTTTTCAAAAAAAAATCCATTACTGTTAATGAGTATGATTGATGGATGAAGTGCATCAATTCGTCTTACCAATCTTTGTTGTTTCATATTTTTTCGGACATTTTTATTTTTTTATCTTCATAATGACACGAAACCAGTGTCTCCAGTATCCATAGTGGATTTGCATTTGATGGATTTCGAATTGATGCTTATGAATTTTCTCTATATTCACATACCTTGTGATGCTATTGATAATTCGATGGATCAAATGTGGCCAATGTCTTTTCTTTGGCAATTTCAGTTAAATTTTTTCACATAGAAATGAATCAAACTAACATTATCTATTTCATTTTATGAATTTTCAATCTGGCTTGTTTTACAACATTTTTATCTGCTGAATCATTGATTTTTATAAATCTTTTAAGTGGCACTTGATATGACCACCTTTCAAACAATGCAAAACAAATGATGTATGCAAATGTTTTCTATTTTTTGAAGTCTTGCATTATATGAAAGGTTTGCATTCGAAAGTTTTCCAACATGCAAAAATTCTTTTTAAAATGTCTGCGATATGTGTCTTTCAAACCAATTTAATAGACAATTTTTATACCTGACATCATCGCAGATTCATCCTTTAAGATTTATGATGCATACCTACTACTTCCTAAACATCACTCATAATTTAAATCAATCCAATCCTGTGAATATACATTGTCAAATAGTCGACACCCAATTCAACAAAATTGATTTTTGAATCTATGTTCCATTTCATTAACAACACTTAGTATATCCTTTTCATGTTTTTCGCATTTTCATTTTACATCAGCTTACTTAATATTAAATCTTATTATTGTTTGAAGTATCTAAATCTACGTCTGAGAACTTAAATTTTACAGTGTTTTCGTATTTTTTCTCCTTATTTCCTTATTTCAATTCATTTCCTTAAATTATTTTGACTGCATTGTTTTAAGCACGCCGAAAGCAATTTTTTGTTGTCCTTCACTTATATTACTTTATCTCTCGCGCTTGTATTCTACTTATTTTTTTTTTTCATTTAATTAAATTTAGTTTAATTTGAAAAAAAAAAATATTACCATTTCTTCACAAAATGAAAACCAGGAGCAAATGGAAATTTTTGATATTGAACAATGAACTAAAGAGTTTTTTGTAAAATGAAAAGGAATTAACTTTGCTTTACCAGTCGATAGAAAATGTTTTGGTAGTGATTTTTTAATTACACATAAAACATATTTTGGAAGAATGGTAAAAATGGAATTAATAATGTTTGCACATTTTATCTTTCAAATCATCTTTTAAATATTTAAGTTTAATAAATTATATTATTTAATGGTGGATTAAAAATTGTTGAACGGACTTGAATCATCAACAGAATACAATGATGAAGAGAGAATATATTTGAGTCAGCACAGACACATCGATGCGAATGAATCATTTTATTTGGTTCATTTTAATTTTTTAAAAATTCAAATAACATTGTGTGTTGTGTGTTTCGTGTTGTACGAACATTTGTATTTATGCGTGTATAGCAGCAAACAGAACCCGTGCAAAACCACACAAGCGGAACAACGGCCATATCACACACCGCATCCATTTCCAAATTCTTTTTCTCCTTCGAATTCGACTGTTGATCAGTTTACAATTGTGTTTGCAATAGAAAGGAAAAGTGGTTCATCGGGCCAACGTGGAGATCATAAATATTTGAATTTTCGCACTATAAAAGTTGGTCTGGTATCAACAATTCGATATCGCGTCCTGTTTATTAAATTAATTCATGATTGACAACGCGTTTTTCTCAAAAAATGGAAAACGAGTTTTCGAGGGGTGTTTTTGCTAATTTTTAATTAGAATATTGGTAATATGCTTCCAGATCATTTTAGACGTTTGATTCCAACTTGATTTATCTGGCCAACAAGAAAACTACTCTAGGAAATGCATTAAATTACTATGTCGAAACATATGGAAGTTAACATCACGCTATACTCAACGACTGACATTTTATTGGAAAATAGGAGCTTATGGATGGAATCATCATTTGGAGAGAGTTGTGTCTGATGCATAAGGCATCAAAAATGCAATCAAACGACTGATGAAAGGCCAATGCCGTGTTACCGGAATTCGGTCGACAAAATTGGAATGGCTTATAGATGCTGTACAAGACATGCTGGTAGACGAGACAATAATTAAAATGACATGATATAGATATTGTAATCGCATATTTTATATGAACAAAATCATGAGTCTGACAAAGAAAATGTCATTTTATTTCCAATTTATAAACGAAGGTGTTGACACCAAAAATCGATCAATCAGCTATTGTGTCTGTGCTACAGCTAATTTGAGATTCATGGAAAACATTCGTTTATCCAATAAATGCCAGAGTGAGAAGACACATTGAATCAGGCAGAGATGGATAAGATGGATAAGATGTTGCTTGTACGCTCGAATCCAAAATACGTACGACTCAAACTTGATAAATACATTGAATCGATGTGAACAAACAAATTGGTTACAGCATAGCGGCCAAGTAAACAAATGGCACAAAATTCACCGATTGGAGTGAAAAAACGATTGCGAATTGTGCAAAATGAGGCGCTTTGACGTACTAAGAGTCGAAGTGTGGCGCCAGTGCTATGTACATAACCAATCAATATTACCAAGAGTGATCGTCTCAATATTGGGAAATCACCGATTGGAACGTGGACGCCAGAAGATGGGAGACGACCAAATTAATTATATTACACATTTTCAGCATACATATGCAAATGCAGTACAGTAGGCAGTTCAAAATGAAAGCGTACATCCAAACGGCCAAAAATCATCACGTTTTTCAAATGGTATCTAAATGCCGCCAATAAATGGATGCAAACTGCGATTAAAACAACCATTGTATGGCATCGTGACATTGTAGCAGCAAAAACATCATTTACATTCATTATAAATGTATGCATATAATTCATTGTTTCACGTAATTGTCTAGTGAAGGGAATTGATATCAATCCATCACTTGCACGATCACGGCTTATTCAACTTCTATTTCCTAAACGAGTTTTTGGTCGATGAGATTGAGCTTGATGGAAACGTTCTCAATGTAATGCGAATCAATAAAATGCAACCGAAGCAACATCAATAGAATTAAGATTTTAAAAATAATATTTTTATAACTTTTTTAGTTATTTACTGTGATCGATTTCTATATTGTGGCCTTCCGATGGCCTTGCACTATTCGGCTATTAGTACCGGAATGTGCATGTAGTGTACACATTGTGTATTTTATAAGTCGTTTATAATTCTTGACTCGGTATCAAACATCTCATCTTCTTTCATATTTTTTTGTTTATTTTCAACTTTCTTCAGTTACAATACACAGTGGCTAAACTATACGATGACCCGCGAAAAGCAAATAGCATCGATAGAATAAGTTTTTCCATTTTTTTTCTCTTCTGCTTTCATTTTCCATTTTATATGTAACGGTAGAAAATCTAACGCAACACGTCATTCAATGAATATCCAGCACCGCGTTGTGAACATGAAATGTCTTAAAATTTTCAAATTCAAAATTGAAAACAAATTTTCATTTCACCATTGTTGTATTCACGTTTTACAAAGATGTCAATAAAAATCTAAATTTATCGAAACACACATATTTTTTCAATGATGACCTTTTTATTTGAACGTTTAGATCTATCGTGCTGAAATTGAATGAGAGTAAAGTAACGCCAAATATTTTTCCTTTAACTCATAAACCAATAGGTTTCCGTAAATGCCAACTAGGTTTCTGCTAAACGGAATAAATAAATATATAGGATTTTATCTGTCGAATCTTTTCTGTATTTTAGTGTTGCTTCTCATTTATCTTATATTTTTCTCTTTTTCATCACATATTTCGTTTCTTCATTTCGATAAAAAAAGAAGAGCTATTACTAAAATAAACAATGACTAAAATTATGAGCGAAACCGGGATTTTGCAAACTAAAACTACACATTTGTTCATCATTCAATTAATGACGTTATAATGTTATTTCATTGATATATTATGTGTTTCGGTATGCAGCATTTGAAAAGACTAAAGGAGTTTTACTGTAATTTAACCAATAAACAGTATAATACTTTCTTTAGTTGTGAAAATTCGACAATAATAGAAAAAATTATGTGAATCAAGTACTGGTTGAAAAAAAAACTGTTATTTGTGACGTTGAACACAACCCCAAACATTCAAGGAATATTTTACAATTACTCGAGTGACGACTATGCATCACATAACATTTTGTGAAAATGAAAACCGAAGATTATTGAAATGTTTCGAAATATTGAAGAGACAAAGTTTTTTAGATAGCTAAATTTAGAACTATATTTATAATAACCTAAACTAATTTAATTCTAGTTTTTATTTCAGCATCTGCTTTTAATTAGTTTGTATCTTTTAAACAAGGAGTTTTCAGTCCCATTTCATTTTATTCGTGAAGTTTAATTCATTTTTTACCTTTTACGAATGCAATATTCATCATCAAAATAATGGCTACGTTCTAGCGATAATGAACGGCGATTCATAATGTTTGCGAGTTCATTGCATTTTTCGTACTGTTTCTATTGGAATTGTACATTTAGCCTTGATGAATGTATTTATTATTAACATACGAAGCAAAGAACTTTGAAGAACAATCTCTTGCAAAGAAAATCTTCTGTACTTTCAAATAACTGTACATAAATATTGAATATAAAACTCACCAATTTGATAAAAAATGGAAAGATTATGAACGTAAACTACGATGAGAACGAACATATGTCCATATATGGAGTTTTTGATCTCATATCATAATTACAAATGTATGTATTGGACTAAAGTATTCATAAAGTGCAGCAAATCGACACGGGGAACTGCAAATTAAAATAAAGTCATTACTTCTATCTTTAGTAAATTATTTTTCTTTGTATAACGACTAACAGTTATCCAATATGTGTCACTTAGTCAATTTATTTCCTTCCTCATTTTCAAATATATTTTTTTTTTCATTTCGTTTATTTTTTGTTTTTAATTTTATGCAAAATACAAATACATGATTTGTTCATTCTTAGTCTTCTTCCGAAAATTACTTCACTTCCACTAATTAGAATTCCGATTTCTGTCGATATTTTGTAGATGCCCTTGTGGAAAAAAATGACTGACTGACTATAAATTAAGTCAATTTTAATCACTTTTATTCGGTTAAAATTACCAATAGATGATTGAAATCGAATAAAGTCGGTTTTGTTTCAGAGTTAACTAAAAGTGATTATAGTCAACATAGTTGACAAAAGTCAATTTCATATACTTATAGTTAACCGTAGTTAACTATGATCACAATCGACATTTCTCAACTCAAATTACACGAAGTGACGCATATAGTCACTTATAGTTAACTTTAGCTGGCTGAAATATCAGCCATTTTTGTCCCAAATAAGTCAATTTTTAGTCGACTATGAAGTCGAAATATTTCCACAAGGGTGAACACTTGGTTCTTACATCAGCCGTATTTGCCATCATTTTAGTAATAACTATTCAAATGTATTTTATGTGTTTGTGCAACACAAAGACTTCATTTCTACTATCGTCCCTAAAATGTTTCTTTTCATATCTCATGAAAAAAGTTTTCAGTCGAATTGGTTTCAAAAAGAGATGAATGCATTTCGGTATAGCCTGTTTAAAAAATCGCATCGATTTTGATGAGGTATGTGTGATGTATGCTAAATGAAATAAAAAATAGGAAAAGATATCTTGAGATGCAATGATGTATTCGTCTAAAGAGATATCTTGGTACCTGAAATTTTCTGCTTTATTTGGTAGCACCAAGGTGTTGATATTGAGAGTATGCCTCATCTGGAGAAGCAGTGTTACTAGCTTGTTCAGTGTCAGTCATTGGCATTGTTGGTATTATAGTTGGAGGATAGTATGGATACGGTGGACTGATATACTAGATGCAATTTTGAAAAATATTAATTAAATATCAATACAATATATACTATTCATAAAAAATATACATGTATTTTATTCAACTTACAGGTGAATTAATCTGTAGTGTAGCTAATTGAGGCACCATGTGTCCATATGGTACAGTACCAGCTTCACTGCTCATTATCATTGAAACACCACGTGGTTGAACCTGTGATACAGACTCTGGTTTAAATGCTGGACTCACGCTTAGGTGTTGCGCCATTTGCATATACTGAATGTAATAAAAAACGTAAAATCAATTCATATATTGTGGCGTTAAGTTTTAAATTAAGTAAAGTAATGTTTTCGTTGTATGAGACTTACTTGATCATCTACTTGTGCCATTGGTTGAGCCATCATGTAGCCAGATACCTAGAAAATAGATGAAAATATTTGATAAATATATACGTAAAATATATCCGTAATATAAAGATATATGCTGAAAATATATTTATGCTTGATTTAAGTGTTCTTTCCATGAATTTTAAATCTTTATTTATAAAAGTTGAATAACCTAGGTAAAAATCCAGTACAAATTTTGTCTGAATTTGAACATTTCAGTTCATGAGTTGTTCCACTTTTAAAGACTCAGAATTCGAGTCGATTTCTGATTCTAGCCTATTCAACCCTTGAATAAAAACCATTTTCACACTATGTATGAAAATCAAAGCATAAATAAAACATAAAGATACCCATTGTGAACCGGGCATGGCATAGCTGCCAACAGGTTGTGCGCCAAATCGAGTATAAGGAACGCTTAGTGGAGTTCCAACGTTCATATTAACGCCATTTTGTGGAAGAGCTGTATCATATGCGACTGGAATTCCCTGCATTGTCTATAATAAAGTCGTAATTTTAATATAATAAACTATGTAAACGTAGAATAGAATTATAAACGTCTATCTTTACCTCAGTCACTTCGCGCCAAGTTCGCGTATTGGGATCGTTTTGGTTTTTGAAAGCATTTTTCTTCTTTGATCCACCATCAGCAAATTTGACAAGCAATGGATCTTTAGCACCTGGCAATTGTGTGCCATTGAATATTTGTATTATTTGCTCGCATTTTTCACGCGATTCCATGCGGGCGAATCCTACGCCTTTATTTATATCTGAAACATTGTAAGATCGGTTTTCATTTGAAAATTGAAAGGGTGTTTATTCGAACGTTAACCGCGCTATAAATACTTCACTTTCATAAAACAAAATTCTACTTAAATTGTTGTATGTTAACTCAATAAATAAATTAAGATAAATAAGTAAATTGCATTTTTTTTTTTTTGAATATTCATTTCGAAACAACATAATATAAACAATAAAAAAGCTTTATCGCGGTTAAGATTCGTATTCGCACATGCACTTATCGAAATAGTAACAAAATTCACCTTTAGACTGGCCTTGCTGATCACGCAAAATTCTAGTTGAAATAACTTGTCCATATTTAGAAAGAAGATTTTCTAAGTCTGTTTCCTTAAATGACGGAGGCAAATTTGCTATGTATAAATTAGTTGGGTCCTGTTCTTGTTGCTATAGAAAGAAAATCATTTGGTTTTTAAAAAGAAAAGAAACCAAAATAAGAAAATATAACCGATTAGTCGTTTTTTCAGATTTTATGATGTTTGAGTATTGGAATGAAAAGTGTTTTTGTGTGTATGGTTATTTCGATTTCTATCTTTTCTGTGTGCATATTTTCTCGTTTTTCATCTTATCTAATAGATTTTCAAGTAATTTAAAATAGAACTCGTTATATCGAAATATGCTGACAAATTATTATTTTGGTCAATGTCATTATCCCTACTAAGATCATCTCTCTCAGCATTCAAATAAAACTTTGTATTGAAATAAACTCGAATTTACTGTAGAAAAAGCTTGGCATTGAATTCTAATACTCAGAATAAAAAGGAAACAATAATTTTCCCCTAAAATTTTGTTGCACACAAAATAATTATATTTGTATTGTGAGAAGTTATTTGTTGGTATTTTTTGGAAAGAAATGATGTATTTTTTGAATAAAGAAAATTCTTATTCGAAAATTTCAAAAGTTCAGGAACGAACTCAATAAAATAAAATATTAACATAAATTACAATATGTTATCTAAGAATATGCAATGAAAAGTTTTCATTGAACCAAAAAAGTCATTTGTTATGAAAAGTAGAAATTTATAGGAAATAAGTTAAAGTTTTTCGATCTATTTTTTAAGATTATTTCAGACGAAATTATAACAAAGTTAATTTAACTAATCAAGCCATATTTTCAGAAACAATTCTATTATTTATGTTATTTTATTTTTCTTTCAGAGATCGTTTCCAAGTTTTTCGTCATTAATTCATACTTTTATTTCAAATACTTTTGTCAACTTTAAAAAAATACCATTATATTGCAACATTTGTAAATTCTTCTAAATTCCTCCCTTCAATTTTGCAATTTTACTAAATAGTTTGTTTAAATTCACAGCGATACGCATTCAAATATCTCTTTATAGATACTCTATTTAGTTAATTTGTGTTTTTGTACATGGTGAAATATTTTATCAACGTTTCATTAGTTTGAAAGAATTCCATATAACCCAGTGTGAATTCTGAAAAGTGTAGAAAATTTCGATAATTATCAGATCATTCAATTTTTTTAAGTTCAAGCTTTATGGAAAATATCATTCAACTGTCCTATTCAGCCAGCGATAGAGAGAGGGAGATAAAGAGCACAACAATATTTTTGTTTTGCCCTAAAATTTTATTAAGTGAGACTTTGAGTGAACAAAGCCAAAATAAAATCTTAAACGCACACAAAAAAAATCGAACAAAATTGATATGAAATTAAAATATGAATAGCGTATTTAGCATTAAAAAATAAATTATCTAATGGCCGGCTCATTTATCTATTTTGTTTGTTTTTCTCTTTTTAAAACGATTAAATATTATTAAATAAGGTTACACATGTGTTATTTTTACAATAATAACAAAACAAAATTGAATGAACATAAATGATTATATCGCCATAAAAAACTATGTTAATTTACAATTGATTCAATTACTCGATTAAATAAAATTTTAGTACTTTGAAATTTAATGTAGTAATTTTTCAGGTTGGCTTCTATGATTATTCCTCCATAAAATATCACTGACCAAAACCAGTAAGCTCTTGTATTTATTTATACTATCAAACAATTTCAACAAAATAGAGTTTACCATAGTAATTTTTGAATCGGGCGGATGAAGCTATTGAATAAGTTGATTACATTTTTAGTACATTTTAACGTTGAAAAATTTAATGTTTGACCCGGATTAGAGGTCATTTTCGATGCAAAATAAACAAAGATTATATGCAAAAAATATCAAATTCCAATAGAATATTTCTTGCATATTTTATGTATCACACTGTGTATAACACTATTCCAGAATCTTTTTAATTTGCTTGTGTGTGGTCAGCAAAATTCAAATTCAAACCGAAATTTGTCATTTGAGAGGTCTATCGTAACATTTCGAAAGAATTTTTTTCGTAAGTCAGAACACATTCAAAGAAGTCATTCTTTCCATTCTGATGATATCAAGGTTAATAAATATATCCATCATTTCGCATTTTTCAACGGATAACATTTTCATTCGATGTTCTAGATACGTCAGTGGAATTTCGTGAATTTTGTAAAGACTTGATGAAGAAAACAGAATGGCTTGCCCGATTATTGAATGATTTAGGAACATTTTCAAGTATTTGATATGAACGTATGTTACAAATGTTGAAACTTATTAAAATACAGACAGTGAAAGTCATGGAATTAATTGATCGATTGTGTAAAGTGTGGTGCCCGATTTGATTCTCGCACCAAAATACAATGCATCAAAGTTTACCAAGATTGTCGACCAGATGAAAATTCAATTTGGGCTCAATTTTAATGTTTACTATTCATGAATTTGTCGTTTTGAATTTCGAAGAAGTATCAAAGTTATCTCAAACTAATTGATTTTTTCTCTTTTCTTCCATTTTGACGTTGAGAACAGGGCTGTAATTTTCACTCTGTCATTGTGCGCACATAACAGTGTGTACAGTCACATTTCACATTGAAAATACAAGCATTGTGTGCGTCGCACATGGAATGTGAGTGTACACACTACTATGTGCGCACACTGACAGAGTGAAAATTACAGCCCTGCTTGAAAATGACTGAAATTACACACAAATCTGGCCTCAAATGCGACCGTGAACTTGTATTTGATATTTATTAACGCAATCTAAGTACATAGAAATTTAATACGAATATGCGGGTTTGCCTACCAAAAAATAACTACATATCAAATCAATTGTACTTCTGGAAGGAAGAATAAAACAAAAACCGCTGAGAAATTAAAAAAAAAAATAGAGTGGTTCCGCTATTACAATATTTTGATCAGTAAATCCCGGAGCTTCACTTTAAGAGATATCACATTTTCATCAAAGTTAGCTTATTTTTTTTCTTTAAAAATAAAAATATGTCCGTATTTATTTAAAATATCAATAAATATTCATCAGGCATCATTCGATGAATCGCATTGATGTATCTCTTTCCAAATCTTGTTTAGGAAGATAAAATATTTTAGCCACTTGATTGATGTTTTTTATACAAAATGCTGAACACTCATAAGAATTTTACACTAATACAATTACAGAATCTTTAGAATTTTTTACAGTTTACGTAATCTGTAGAATCAATACAACAGAATCTGATTGATTCATCTGTCAAATATCTGAGCTGCGCTGACATAAATGGTGAGTGGAGTTTTTTTAGAGGTTGAGGATTTCAAATTGATATGTTTTTTTTTTAAATCGTGAAATTTGTTATATTTGGTAAAAAACCTCTAGCATTTATGTTTAAAAAAGTTAAATTTCGTTTAATCACCATAGCAAATTATATAAATTCTGTATAGTGCCTCATCTGTATTGATTCTACAGAATACGTAAAATGTCAAACATTCGACAGATTCTGTAAGTGTTTTAGTGTAAGAAAATTATGTTAGAAGTTACCATTATTAAATTTAGATTTTATTAAAGAAAGCAAAATGACAATAATAGCAGAAACACCACCTAAAATATCAACGATAATAAATTTATTATCGTTATCTATGCTATATTTTTACACTTTACACTCAATTCTCATAAGATTATATGGAGTAAATAAGAAAAACGATATTTAATAAATGACATTTTTCAATGTTGTCGTCAAAATATGTAATCTGTACTGATCAAATTAGATGCTATTTCTCAAAAAATATATTTATAGTTCGGGCTACAAATGGATTTGATAACAATTTCACCTACTATCCGTCGACATATGTAGTGCAAGTTAAACGTGAATAACTTTTTTTTTTCTTTGTTGTAAATTATATTTGAATAATAAAATAATGAACAACGCAAATATTAAACTTTGTTTCAAAATAGCAAACAAAGAGAATAAAGAGTATAACGAAAGACTCTTTCAGATAGAAAAATTAAAAACTGATAAAGGGAAGAAAAAAAAATGAAAAAATCGTATATATCATTGCAAACTAAATTCCCTACAAAAAATTATTTTCTATTTGCTAGACAAATATATATATTTGTTTAAAAAAAATTAAGCTATGAAATTGAAGTCCTTGTAACATAACAGTTTTTCGTTAAAATCAGATTGACTGTACGTTAAATTGAACATGAAAGCAAAATTATAAACAATACTGGGTTCTTGGATCTTGCATCTCACTTACAGTACTAATAGAGTTCGCTTTTTTTATGTTATATAGTCTATTATCAGTTTAATGCTATCAATTCAACTATTGGGTCTATCATTTACTTCTAATGAGAAATATAAATAAATGGATCAATCTGACTGCTAATATGGTATTTGTCTCGTACTATATTAGTATATGTTTTAAGGTCCGTTGAAAGTGGTATGCTAGTATGGAATTAAAAGGGTTAACTGACGGAGGGAACATCTAATGGTACAAGGATTTATGGATAAAAGTGCGTATATGTAGACACATTAAAAAATTTTTTAGAAGTCAGATGTCTGAAGCTGTTTCCAAATATGATAGGTATGTGTAAGTATCAGTACCATAAAAAAGTTGAAAGACTTAAAAGCGGAACGGTATACAATCGACTGGAATGAAGAAAAGGAAGTAAAAGTTTAAATCCCTACAGGATTCAAAAAGAATGGTACCAGTTTATTTCGCATGGCATTCTTCAATTTTAAATTTGAAACTTAGTTTAAGAAAAAAATTATAATTTCTGAGGAGAAAAATATACTATGAAAGTTCCGCTTTTAAAATATTGAACTTTAAATATTTGATTATATAATAGGGGCGATGGTGGAATTTTGGAATGGATTGGACTTCAAAAATCTTATGGGTGATGAATCACGATTATTTTGATTGACCAACGGAAGGGTAGGTTAAATATTACTTGCATGCAAAACAAACGTACAATGGCCGGCCTATGTAGCATCCAGATACCCACTTTGGCCATCTGAGCTTGTATTCCTTTCGATTGAAGACCTTTTACAGCTCCTTCGGCACATGCAGGTGATTCAAAATCAACAAATCCGTAACCTAAAAATGTTTTTTTAAAAATATTGTGAAATGGTTCATAAGCGGTTGTTTCTACCATTTTGATGTTATTGCAAAACTGTTCATTGAACGATATGATTGAATTTAAATGATAGACCATTTTGATATTTTGAATACCAACACTTTGCAAATAACAGCGAAACGATTTTTAGTAGTAGCAAGTACAAAGATGATAACTGCACTAGTTATAGGATTAGAAGAAAATGATAAGTTTTTAACTTTTTTTGTAATGCAAAATAATATTATATATTATTATTTTGCTTTTGAAAAAGGGACCAAACACTTATTATTTTATACTATTTTATTAACAAGTAATTGAAACTGTTTTAATTAACAATTACTATTATATTTTTGTTTTTTTTATTAACAAATAAAAGTCATTTGTTGTTAGCTTTATAGGTGAAAAAAATGGAATATTCCATTTAAAATTTTCGAAATTACACAAACACATTGGATGGAATTATGACTTCCAAACAGCCAAGCAGCTGTTACACTTAAGAATACCCGCTCGCTAAAATCTTTCAAATATCTAGGGATTTTATTTATATTAAAAAGAAAAAGGAAATACCTCTACATTTATTCGTTTGTTTATCTAGAATTGCCTTTGTTGAAGTTATGTTTCCATACCTACAATTTGATATATTAAAATGTTCAAAGTAAATGAAAAGTTTAAAAATTTAATATGAATTTGCTCACTGTTGACACATGTTAATTAAATCCTTGTCTGTTGTGCATTGTTGAAGACCTCTAATGTATAAATTTGTTTTTGATAATGTCTCTTGTACTTGAGGCGTTCCGTTAGGTCCCATTGTAGTGTTTGTATTTGTGTTACTGAGACTAGTGCTTATTGTCCCGCTTTGGGAACCAGTATTTGAGGAGCTACTAGAATTTGTATTGCTAGGAGACGCTGCTGTTGGAACACGTGGACCATACTGGAAAATAAAATCAAAGAAACGATATAATTTTTATGATTGTGATGTCGACCAAAAACCAACGAACCAAAACAAAGTGACACAAAGGAAAATGGAAATATCTAATTATAATGGTGAAGGAGTAAATATTATTTAACTAAATAAATTCTGAATTAAGACCATGATTTTCATTTATTTAAATTATAGAACTTTGTCAATATGTCAGTTTTTGAGTGGAAGTGGTATCTTTTTTTTTTTAAATAAAAGTATTAGAACATGATTTGTCGTATAAAAATTTAAATTTATGCATGAGATGAAAAAGATAAAGTAAAAAAATATTCAATTCAATTTCCAGCAAATAATTGAAATGACGTTTAATAAATGCTTTGCCAATATAAGAAAGAGCGACTTTAACTTTAACCAAATTAATCTTGTGTACACATACGCCCACTGAACAATGAACAATACTTCAATGCACATTTAGACGGATTGTAACGGGATATTTGAGAATTATATGTGAGTGTTTGGACAATCAATTTTATAAAATTTACGGTGAAGATTCCAACAACATTTCGATCGGCAAAATATTTGACGTCACATTAGAAATAAATTTCATCATTAGAATTAGAATAAAGAGTCGCTTTTTTGAGGTAACATGTGATATTTATAATTGATTCTTCATTGCTGTTTCTTTTCATTTGAAAAAGAAATAACAACGACAAGGGCGAAGGTGAAAATGAAAAAGATAATTTCGTAGCAATAATTATGGACTGCAAACAATTCTTTGACCCGAGCTTGTACCAATTTTGATGCAAATATTGTATGAGCGCAGGGTTCAAATAACGAAAGTTGCCTCATTGGTCTCACTTTTGATTTTATTCAAGACGAATGAAGCACACGAGATTCTCGAAACTTCTTCATCGAATGCTTTAATACGGTAATGGCCAAAAACATTTACTATAATAATACCTTTTCATTCACAAATACGAAAACCTAGACGAAAATCAATCTCAAGACTTGGTGTATCGACTTGAGGCATTCTTTCGAATGCGATGCTGGTGTCGCAATTAAAACAACAATGCCAAAAGATTCGTCGGCATAGATATCAGAAATGACAAAGTATTAGCATATCGATCCACCGACTTGACAATTGTAATGTGGAAAGAGTAGAAAAGGGCAGACATTTTATTGCGTGACATGGTTGCAATTGGATGGCGACGCCAAAATTGCATGCAACTTTTCATAAAGGATCATTGGTTTGAATCGTTGTGGTTGTTCAGGCAAATGCAACGTGAAATAGAACTTTTTCACAGTGATGCCCAACAATGAAAAATATTTCGTTAAAATCCGAACTTTCAACAGCCAACAAACATTCACCCACCGCAAATAAACAGTTTTGCTCTTGTACCGTTATGCGAATACTATTTAAAGATCGTGCGATTGGATATGAGAGACTTGCATAAGAAATTGGCGAGCAAGTTTAAAATTTCGCAATCCGGTTAAATAAATTCAGCCAAAAACACTACAGAGATCATAATCGAGTGGTACTATAGAATTTGATGTTCAGTGTCAGTTAAATCAATCAAATGGGCAAACGTTCAAAACAATTCCATAATCAAGTCATTACTACCTAATTAATATTCAAAACTGTACAATCTTGTAGGCAAGAAATACGTTATAGGCATCGATTCGATGAACCGGCTGTTGAGGTGAGATATTTTTAAATGTAATATGAAATGTATTTGAATCAAAATTCATTAATTTTGCCCTTTTTGAAATTGGAAGGAAAAAATCACAATGTCAAACATGCGATTCCACATCGTCTGAAAAAAAGAATCATCTGTAATCATATCCATTGCATCCACCATCACCACGTAGTTCATCATGGAAATCGTACATTGAGTACCGCATTATTTAGAATTTTCGAAAATACTTTCCAACGAACACGAAAAGACATCGATTTAAAGTATGCTACCGGACGCAATAAATTGTGAGACAAAATCAATTCAGTCGCTGGTCTACCAGATATAAAGGTCTCAAAGTTTAGCAAACGTGCTTTACAATGAGCACGTGAAATAACTAACCGTCAAGTTCGCAATGGCAATTATCTGGATGTGAACGAAATAGTTTAGAATGGGCGTTTAATGTCAAAGGGTAAAAATTAAATGCTGAGGATGATGCTTCATAGACAGTTGTTTGGTACCGCGATATTGTTTCTGCAAAATGCTTTATTTTTAGAGCAATTGTAAGAGGAATTCGAGTATATTCATTTCGTAAAAGACCACACACTAAAAGGTACAATCGGTCTATAAATGATTGTTGTTGTTGTTGTTGAAAAATGCATTATGCTCAAAGGTATGAAACAATTGAGAATGGAGTTTATTCATTGTTTCAAGATTTTGCTTCAAATTGCAGAGATATTTGGCGTTCGAGTGCCTGATTTGTTGAGAAGACCACCGAATGCAAATAATGTTATATAAAACTAATATTATAACGATTATTAAGCTAGGCTTTACAGTTTTTGTGGCCTCATATACAATTCAATTGATACTAATGATTGTCATTCCTCTTTTCCATGTACTCACACCTGAATAGATCCGGCCTTTAATTTGACCGTGAATTTATGCCTGGTAATGGGTGAATTTGCATTACAAATTGTTCCTTGGGACAAGGCAATTGTCTCTAGAATATATTTTCACTTTTTATCAACATGCGATTCCATTTGACCAATAAATTTAACTTAGATGCAGTACATATTATTATTTTTTATTATGTAATTTTTGCGTCTTTCCTAACCGGAAAATTTGTATATGAACAATACTAAAATCGATCGAGGCGATAAAAAATTATCCATTTTATTTAGCTCTAGGATTTCTTCAAAATTTAATTGAAAAGAAATAATCCAATATTTTGTTTTATGTTTGAAAATAATCTATTAATTCACACTAGAATGTCCGAATTATCTATCATGTTATACCATATGGTAACTAATATCTATTGTACAAGTTAATGACGTATCTTCCATCTGGGATAGATTAGTCACCCGTTTTGCCGAAATCTTTTCACAAATTAAATTGTTTAACAAATTTATTACCGCAATGTTACTGAAAATGTTGTTAAATGAAGTGAAATGAATATTTTGTAATTGTTAGCACAATGTGGTAGTTTCTTATGTTTTTTTAAATAACTAAAAACACTGAACGTAACATTTTCCACTAATAACATTTAATTACATTTTTTGAATTCATTTGCAGACCAATCATGTAATTTGTCATTTCACATAAATGTACTACAAATGATTGAATGATAAAGTATCTACACACAGTTTTGTCATACTTTTTCCCATATGAATTAATATTACCGTATGCTTACTCACACATTTCACCTAAAATACTATTTTATATTTGTTTAAATTCTAAATACAACGGGTTTTAAAAAGCAATTCCCAACTAAAATATTTTCTGTCAAAAAACAGAGTAACTTTAATTTGCAGCCGCTTTTATCACTGGAGACAGTATCAAAAGAAAATACTTCTTTACTTCTTTATATCTCTATGCTGTCTCTCTCTACTATTTAAATGCTTATGCACACATACGCTCAAAATTGCAATTCGCACTAAATGTATATGTGTGAAGACTTAAAATTTGTTAGTGTAGAAAAATGAATGAACGACATTTTAGGGGCGTTTACGCATAGCGCATGCGCTATAAAAGTTTACTCGATAAATGACGTCCATGAATGGTGGCGAAAAATCGACGAAAAGTGGAGGAAGGATGAAAACAAAGAGGCTGCGAATTCTATAATGAATTTCAGCATTTTCCAAAGTAATGCCATATGTTAAATTTGAATCTAACGTCTAATAACTTTCTTTTTCAAGAAATAAAAAAGGCATAAACATTACTTATAATCGAAAAGCAAAATAAATGTCTCATAAATAATATTGTTGATATCATAGAGAATTTTCTGCTGTGATTGTTATCTTCTTAACAAAATGGATATATGTGCTGCTGTCAATGAAATATAAATGAAAAAAATCACAAATGGACCATTTTTGTTTCATGTATAAAGCTCTGAATTTTTGAAGTAAATAAAAATTAATTGCTTTTATTGAAATGAACCAGAATAAATTGAATTTTGTGGACAAATTGTTCGAAACCATATCGAGGACTCATTTCTAAGGAATGTAAAATTTCAATATTCGTATTTTCTTCCGTGTGATAGTAAAAGAAGACAAAACAAAGAATTATCAATTCAAAATCAGACAGAAATATAATGGAAATAATATATCTTCTCATTACTGATATTCAGCATTTTAATTTGTGTATATTTGGAAGCTTTTTTAAACTTTAAGTTGCAAATAATCTTTATAATGACGCTATATAACGAAAATATAAAGAACAACGAATGTTCAGAAAACATTTCTAGCAAATCGAAAGACTTCTACACAACTCCATTCTAATAAGGGGCTTTTGATTCCACTCGGATACAAATTGATTCCAATCGGATACGGGGAGTGAATTTGGCTCACAAAATCCTATCAAATTGAAAAAAAATCGTCAGCGTTATTTCATAGAATAGTTACTTCCAGAAACGATACTACCCCAAGTCCATTAATTTTTCTAGGCTTTGAAAATATTCAAAATTCTGAAATCATCATAGCTTTTTCTAAAAACACTATAGACAAAAAAAATGACAAATATGGTTTTTCAGCGCCAAAAATGCTTCAAAAACCATGGCATAATAATTGTTTTCGCGAAAATTTCGATTCATAGCTAAACAACTAAACTTATCTGTTTAACAACTACTTAACATAGGTTTGCCCAATGAACGACAAATGAAAGATTGAAGCTCACACAATATATTTCAAGTGGTATGCAAAAATGAGGCTTATACACTAAAGGGCCATCCTATCCATAAATGTTAATCATGTCTATGAGAAATCAAAAAAGTATTTATTTGATATTAAAAAGTAGATATAATTTTTCCATTTTTCAAGCAACCGTTTTTGGTCTCGATTTGCATTTGAGTTCTTGATTAAGGTTGTAACTCTAGTTTGATTAACGTTCAAAAATAATTAATATTTGTCTAAACTTTGGAAGAAAAAATTAATATTGCTGAGTTGCTTTGACTAGTATCGTAAAATTGATACAAATATTTCACTTGAACATGCCATTATATGAGTGCATTATTAAAATAGACATCGCCAATGTCATTTGAATACCTCAGGTTAAACTAGTGAACGAATGGACACTTTTAATTTTTACATCGCGCTCAAACTTAGAGGAATTATTCAAATGAGTTTCAATGTTAATAGCTGTATTGTTATTATCGCCTACCGTTAAAATATACTTTACCCCGCATTATGGCCACGCACATTTTGGCCACTCATAATTTTTTTTCGGTGGCTATAAAGTAAAATTCAAGGTGGCCAAAATGTATTTATTAGAGAATCATTTTTGGCCACGCGTAGATTTAAAACGATGGCCAAAAATGACTTTTTGTGAAAAACATTTTGGCCACCATGAAATTTCCCTTTTAGCCGCGTAGCCAAAAATTATTCTTTAATAAATACAATTTGGCCATCGTGAATCTTACTTTATAGCCACCAAAAAAAATATATGGGTGGCCATAATGTGCACATTAGAAATTATTTTTGGCCAAGTGGCTAAAAATGACATTTGAAGGAGGCAAAAATGCGCGTGGCCATGATTCATGACACTATTCATTTAGACGGGCGGGTTAACGTTCAATAAATTTCTGATTTTTTTTCTTTTTTGGTGGTAAGTAGAATTTTTTTTTGACTTGTCTAGAATTTACTTTGCTGAACATTGACATTGATTAGTCAATGAAGATAATTTCTAATTAGATTATTTTTATTTAAAAAATGTACCAAACCACTGCCAACTAATGCATTTTAAACAAATGGAACTTATGACAATTATCAGATTAGTATTTCATCAAAAATTGGTCCAATTATTTGAATTTTACTTCAAAACAAAATCATACCGGTGTTGCCTGTTGAGAAGCCGTGTATGTTGTATATGCCGGCTGCGGTAATGGTGAAGTATATCTGTATGCTTGTTGCGCGTTGGAATAGCCGTGCTGAGTCCAATTCGTTCCTCTATACGGGGCACCGGTGATGTTACTGGCAGCTGGACTCGACATTACAGCCCGTTGTGGCCCTTTAATTGTTGCTGATACTGATGGCGAGATGTTTGGGTATGCGTTACGTGGCACCGCTGTACTACCCTATTAAGAAAAATTTCAAAACATAAATCAATTATTTTGTACTTTAAATAAACTTAGTTGAGTATTTTATTCTGAGTTTTATTCAGTAGAAAAACTTGTCATACTTGGTAGAAACCAAAAAATCATGCCTGATGTTTATAATGCACAATGACATTGATTGACAGGTTTTTTTTTTAAATATTTATTTGAACAATATATTTATTGAAAGAAAAAATTCCGACCCTATACTTTACTTTGGGTAGCGGTAGTCTAATTTCCTTCATTCAAATATATTTCTTTCTAGTTTTCAAAGTTTCTAGCGCAATTGTGAATAGTTTTGTACACTGTATTATAATTACGCGAGACACCATCAACAACCTGTTTCATTTATGGTTTTATGGATTTTCGGCAAATTAAAACTCCTACATCTCTGACCATTTCCAGGAAAATTGTATGTAGCTTTTTGAACAAAAGGTTTTTTAATCAATTATTTTTTTAACTTATATTTATCGCACAACTTGTCCATTCGAGAAGTCCACAAAAACAATATGATGTCGGCTTTTGACATGTGTACGTTTTTTACGAACGCATATCGATTATTCAAGAGTGTGTTGAGAACTACCAACGCCAATGGGGTTATAACCGAAGCTGATAGTTTTCAACCGAACCAAAAATTTGGTATTTTAATTTTGTAATCAACACACAGTAATTTTACAGTCTAACATCACAAAGCTAGTTTTCACTGAGAATTTAAAAAAGTTATCCACACCCATGTTCTTGAATATCCATTTTTTGCATATTAAGCCGTATACATTTTTCGTGTATACAGATTTACAATATCGATCCATGGCATCTCTTTGAAGAAATTCACTATTGATTTTTGGAATTTTCAATCTTTATTTTTCGATGAACAAATTCCAATAAATTTCATTTATCGATTATACAGTATAATTTATACTTAATTTCGATGAAAAATCTAAATTTATAATTAATCTCTTACGTGATATGATGGCTTAAAATTTCATTACGAAATTTGTTTGATATACTTTTTTCAAATCATTTTGGACATCTTTTCAATTCAATTGTACGTTATTCTCATTCAGAAATGATCACTATGTCAAAAATCAACAAATACATTAGGATATTTTAAAAAGCATGTTCGACATTTAGCTACTTTAATTTTCTGCAAGTATCACATTTCATGAACGGGAAACGGTTTGAATTGTGGTTGTGTTTTCACAATATCAAAATGAGAAAGCCTTTGCATAGCTTGAAACAAGAAAAATAGAGAAGAGTCCATTAAGAATGGAATACAAATACCAGTAAATTGTGTTTTGATTTCATGTATTTGTAGTCGGCGGCGATAATAAGAGTCTGCGCAAACAAAGTTTTTCTTATGGATTCTCTATATTTTTCCATATTTCTTCTACTTCGTCTAATGCAGTCTAACTGCCGAAAAGGTTGTCAAGTATGAATCGTTTTATGATGGAATTATGCGACTTGCGGTTGTCAAAAAAAACACTTTGTTTACAAAGTAATATTTTTAAAAATTTCATTAAAAACATTCAAGAAATTTGGGAATTGAAAATTTAATTTTCCAAATTATAAAAACTAGTTTATTCGCACAAGAGGCCATTCCCTGTTGCATGCAAACGTTAAAAGTTACTTTTATAACGATTTCGAATTGTATATAATGTGTCAAAGACAGACGGAAGGAAACAATCGTTTTGAGAAAAGAGCTTTTGTCGTTTGTCTGTCATTTAGACATAAATGTTCAAAAGACTAGCTTTTATCGATATGTTACAGATGAAAAATAAATATTTTTAAATCTATCTTTCATACTTAACTTTAAGAATTTCTACTGCACTATCAAGCAAAAAACATTTTCTCTTCAGCAATAGAAGATTTTCTATAACACTGGAGTATTACTATTGTTGTTCTTAAATAATACTTTTATTGCTGAAGAGAAAAAACTTGTTGTCGTTCCAAAGCTATTTACTTAATGGTAAGATTACCCTGATTTCTTTTGGAGAACCAGATGTCATAGAGCTGTATGATTTGCTTAACTATGACTTTAATGTTTTGAATAAATTCGTTGGAAGAGAAAAATTAAATTTCTAATTGTCTCCGATAAATTGACAAAATTCGGTTTTTATTACTCTGGACTTGTAACAGGTCCAAAATGTGACACATTGATTTAATGAACCAACTGATACACAATATTTAATCATATCGAATTATATTATTTTTTACCTAATTGTAAACCTAAAACGGAAGATGTAGGTCTTCTAATTGAAGTTCAAATACTTTTCAGTAAAGTTCAAATGGAAATTTTTTGTTTCGCCTATCTAAGATCATAACTTCAAGTGAACGTCACAAATCTAAATATTGAAGTGGTTCCAGAAAGATGGAACGTTTAGTCAATTCATAAAATGAAAAAAAAAATCAGTGCATAAATAGGAGAGACGATGACTTTTGAAGTGTGGGCCACTTCATGTCGTTCACCCTTTATATTCGTTGCATTCGCTTTATAAAAAGACATCGATCGGACAATGGTGTTGTCTATTTAAATGAGAGAAGTATATTTCTTCCACGAATTTAAAAACACGTTTGAATGTTTTGGAGTACTTAAATAGTGTAAAACAAATCAAAGTCAGTTTAAATACTTACCATCATTTTGTAGTTAGTCTTCTTTGCGTTTAATAAGACTACCATAACCCCAACTACACCAGCCTAAAAATAGATTTGGCCAGCGATTTTGGTATTATACGATTCTGTTAATTCGGTTATCCAATTGTCTCTTCCAGTTGTAATAGAAAAAGCAGCAGCAGCAGTAAAAAATATGCTCCAATTCAAAATGAACACTAATTTAATTTGAGGCTGATACGCTTTGATAACCTGCCAAACGTACTTCCTAGCGTACTTCTGTGTAGATTTCAACTTGGCCAATGAATTCTGGTTTCCGACTATAAGTGACAAAAAACAAAACATAATTAGTCTTAACACGTTGAAATGTTCGAAATTTTCATTATTTTTATTTTACTTATTCCTTCTTGTCATTATTATTATTATTGTTGTTGTTCTTTTTCTTTATTTTTCATTAAAATTATTGTTATTTGTTTGAAATACTTTTGAATACTACGACACACCCTATATATTATATCACTTTATGCTTTGAAATTTGTCTACATGCTTTTCCGTGTCTTATTAGACTTTTTTCATATGATTCGTTCGTTTTTTAATCGATTCACTTCTGTATACAGATCACTTTTGTATACAGTCTTTGTCAAAAATAGTCAATAAATTGTTTGATATAAAAGCTTAGTTTTATGATACAATCACTTATTTTGCAAAATATATTTGTCTGCACAGGAGATATCTCAGATGAGCGCAACACATATTTGATGTGAAACAGAAAATCATTCAAATTATAAATTTAAAAAAAAATTATCAATTCAGCGGAACTCAGATCATGTTGTATGATAAATTTTTAAGAACCTGATATTACCCTTAACAAAATAAATCACATTTTTTGTTATATGCGCATGAAGCCGGCTGTTTCAAAGCTCAATTGAATGTGTTTTTGCTGTATTTTAATATTTATTAATTCAGTTTTCTTCTTTATATCAATAAAAATTACAATATAACAAAATAATTCTCTCTGCGAAACAAATATCGATATTGATTGATAGATAGCAAGAAAAAGGAGTAACAACTTGTTTTAGTTTTCATGTCGATGAAAGAGAATACAGACATACACAGAGAGAACTGTATATCGAAGCTCTAGCGTTTGCGCAAACAAAAATTGAATCCAATTAGCCGGTGATATATGAATAATTCGAAAAACCATCCATTGACCAATGTGTTTTAGGCACAAGTAAACCTTTTTTTATTTTATTCTTTGTTTGTATGTGTGCCCGCTAGATTCTTATTCGATTTTTCTCTTTGGTTCACGTGAATCTAATCAATTTCATTGCCGATGTAACACCTCAATTTATTTAAAATACTTATTTTTATATAATGCATTAACTTTATTTTATTGAAAAGTCAATATATGAATGTAAACAGCTATCTATTTTTTGGTAACGTTACTAACGTATCTGATTAAGAACATAGCACATAATCATTTTTTATTAGTTGGTTGACATGTTAGTTGCATATACTATTTGTCAATCAACAATATTGTAAACGAATGCATTACATAGTGAGACGTGAACATTTTTAAAAGAATTGTTTTTAATTCTTTCCTTTTTCTTGTCACAATCATTAATTCGATGATATTGTTTGCTACCTTATCGTTTTAGTAAATTTTAACTAAATAATTGTCTAAGTTCAAAATTACTCATGTGTCGTTGCCGGTTCAATTGTCAGTTCAATTTGTGTAAAGAAAATATTTTTTTTATTTTATAATAAGTTTATATTAAAAAAGTTGAGCATTTTTTGACAAACCTAAAACCAGATTTCAATTTGAAAATATTTTATTCTTGATGTTTTATATGAAGTTTGATTTCATGAATATGTTGTTTTTTTTCTATTTACATGTCAAACCAGCGACAAGATTCAGCGTTTAAAAACTTTATTATTTTTACTGTTGATGAATTGGCTGAGCTCAGCCTTTGATTATTGTTTTTATGTTTATTGATTTTAGTCTTCTTCTTTGGAATATTGACTGCAAATATATTTTAAAGAATATTTCGAGTATTTTAAAATGTTTACTAAACAGCACTCAACACTTTTGTATAATATACGATTTTCTTTAGAGCCACTCCCATGGATGGTGGACACCATTTCATTTGCAAAAAAGAATAAAAAGGCTATACATATTAGTAATCGTATATACTCATATATGCGAAGAAAAAGCAACAATAATAACTTTGAAAGAATGAACAAGCAAGTAGATGAGTTCAGCGTTGAGCAACCAACAAAATAGGTAGTATTGAATAGTAGAAAAAAGAAAAAGAAGAATAAAAAGTGGATTGAAAGAAAAAACAACACACTTTTGTTATATTAAAAAAATAATACAACACGGCGCGGATGAATATATCTACTATGTATGGCTGACTACTGATACCGACTGACATTAAAATACACAGAGAAAAAAAATCGGAAAAGTTCTTGTGTACTGATGACATCGGTCACATAGACGACGATAAGCGCTCACACATACGTTAAATGTGGCCAAAATGAGAAAATTTATCTGCGTTTATACACACATATACATGGCCTAACACACACACACACACACTTATATATATAAATATATATACTCTCTGAATGAACACACATAATCAAATATATCATCAATGAATTGAGGAGCGCCTTCATAACAGCATCCATTATACATGAGTTAAACGCAATATGGCGCGTGCATATTTTGCGCTTGTCAAAAAAATTCATGTTTGAATATCATTTTGTATGGTATAGACAAAAAAGGAGATAATCAGTTGGAAGAGGGATGAAAATAGAGACAATTTACTACATTGCAAATTAGATTAATGTTGTCAACATTCAATACAATCAGAAAATGGATCGCTTTTGATTTACACACACAGATAAACATTTTTCTTTGTTAGTTTTTATCTCTTAAACTCTTTTTTCATTCAATGTTGGTGAGGATTTTTTACTGAAACAATTTATTTTGATTGCTTTCGAAAGTAGCATAGATTTTTTTAATTAAATGACTAATGTTACACAATCAAGAAAAAAATGTATCCACAAAAAGTAATTGAAACCAAAAATTTAGTTATATTTTTACTTACAGCAAATATTGCACTTATTTACATTGTCTTTCGAGCACACAATAAAATAGTCGTGAAATTTCAATTTTGCAATATCTTGTGTACGTCGGACAAGTTTGACACATACATACTTATGTACGCATATACGTCAAAAAATACAAACTAAATTTTGACAATTCTCATAGTCGAACACATGATAGATAGATTTGAAATTCTTTAAGCAGTTTAATTTTCAATAATAAATTTCTATGTATTTAAACATCCAATTGTTGAACCTCAAAAAACTCTAACAATAGCAACCATGGATGAATCGTCATCAGAAACAAGAAAGCAGTTTGGAAATCGATTTCTTACTGAAGCTGAAAATATATACCAACACAATGCATGGTGAGTGAAAATAATAAACATTTTATATATGAAATGCATGTGATTTTTTTTTAAAAAATTTAATTTTTCAGGGATGCCGTCGAATGGGACGAAGAACAGGAGAATCATGCTGCTGAATGTGTGAAAAAGAATTCAGTTATAACTATGCCACAGGAACAAGCGCAGGCATTCGACACGGAAGCAGAAACTTATTGGAATGCATTTTATGATATTCATCAAAACAAGTTTTTCAAAAATCGCCACTGGTTGTTCACTGAATTTCCAGAACTTAAAGATTCGCAAAGCACTTCAGAGACATTCAACATTTTTGAAGTGGGCTGTGGTGTTGGTAATACAATACTGCCAATTCTTCAATATAATAATGATACAAATTTGCGTGTATTTGGATGTGATTTTTCTTCTCGGGCAATCAACATACTGAAAGAAAATGATGAGTTTGATACAAAACGTTGTCAAGTTTTTGTACTAGGTAGGTCGACAATTGATCAATAGACCCAACAAACAATTGCCAATGCAAATACATCCAATAGTCACGGTAGAATTTGGTCCCATGTTTGAGTGTCATTTCAGTCATTTTAAACGTTGCAATAAAAGAGAAAAAAATGGTTAGAAACTTGACTATGAATCAACATAAATACACTATTCAATAAACTCTATCTGTACTCAGTACTATACTACGGATTCCTTCCCTCCGTACTACCGTTATACAAGACGAACAATAAGACCACAAAACTATCAACTGTCAGTTGCCATTGTTTGTATTGGGTACATTCAATGCATACATCATGCAGTAACAATATAACAATAACATACAACTAAAAAGTTTTTTTATTTTTATTTTTTGTTTAGATGCTACTAGTGAAAACTGGCAAGATAGTCTGCCATTTGATGAAAGTTCATTGGATATTATCGTAATGGTGTTTGTATTATCTGCAATAAAGCCCAACAAGTAAGTATTGAATTAAAATAGAATTTCAGTAATTTGTGAATGGCTAAAAATTCTTTGATTAGGATGCGGAATGTTGTGCAAAATTGTTTTAAATATTTGAAGCCAGGTGGTCAAATATTATTTAGGGACTATGGGCGGTTCGTATATGCATATATATTTTATCCTTTGAATATTACAAAACCAATGAATAAACTTATTCCATTTTTTCCATGGCAAACATAGATATGATCTTGCTCAACTGAGATTTAAAGCTGGCAAGTGCTTAGAGCAGAATTTATATGCACGGGGCGATGGAACTTTGGTGTATTTTTTTGAGCAAGGTTGAGTTATACTAAATTAATATTTTCTCAATAACGTTTTTAATATTTTAACGACGAACAAAATCTATAGATGAAATTCGAGCGCTCTTCACCAATTTCGGCTTTATTGAAGTATCAAATATAATTGATCGTCGACTACAAGTAAATCGGGGTAAAAATCATCATTTATTTTCTTTCCTATTTCATAAAATTCATTCTGAACATTATTTTTAGGTAAAAAGCTTAAAATGTATCGTGTTTGGATCCAAGCGAAATATCAAAGACCTATGTAATTTACTGAGCTCTATAAAGTTTTCTAGAAACAAGAAATTTACCAACCTGTCGGTACCAACATCTCTTTTAATAAAAATTTTTAAATAACGTAATGAATTAAACTATAGCCTTTCAATTTTAAATAAAAGTTTTTATTTGTTTTTAGCTATGTAATTGATTGTAAATGAAAAGTAGAAATTTAAATATTGTTTATTTACAGAATGCAACCAATTGTCTCAATAGGAAAATTATATATGAGAATTTAGCCATTATGTAATCATTTATATAATATTTTATAATTTCCTGTTTCAGTATGCGTATATTAAACTAACCAAGGTAAGCAAAAAAACCTATGAATTTTGAAGAAATGATGGGTCTTAATAAGAATTTGCTATTGATTTACCAAACATATTTAAAAATAACGATGGTTTCACATTCAGGAAATATATCATGCAGGAATTTTTAACGTTACTGGTTTTGAGACATTTTATTTTGAGTCTTTAAAATGTGTAAAAATGCCAAAAGATATGTTTCCTTTCGTTTGTTGTTTTCCTTGTAGTTGAGTATGAAATGAAGTCGTTGAAAGCTTCATGTTAATTGTGTACCTTTTTCATTACCTATATTATATATATAATGAATTCAGCTAATTATAAAATCTGAACGAAACAAAATCACATCCAATTAACGGCAAAATACATATGAAAATAAATATAAGCGATAGAAAATTCAGAATTTAATGTTTTAATAAAAAATATTTTAGTTCGTTCATCTAAACTTAAAATAAATATTTTGTTGGGCTAGTTATTGATCGTTATGGGTTTTCTTCAATCTAGACAAGTTGAATAAATTCAATGAAAATATATTCTTGCATTGTTTTCTTTTTGTTAGATTATCTTCCTCCGTATGTAGTTCTTTTTTGTTCTCTTAAGCATTTCATGCATACAAAGTGCTTTCAATATAGGATGTTGGAACGAAACCCTCACATCCTTCTTCCCAACCAGAATTGTCAGTAATACGACGAACCCGCGTCCAACCGTCACCTTGATCCAATTCAATAACATGCAGTTCTTCACCTTCTGCCATTGGAATGCTACCTTCGCTAGTTGCTGTAATTTATTTATAGAATTATTTATTGACTGGAATTAATTTAAATAAAATTGATATTTACCATCAAAAGCGTACAATGCCTTACAAATACCCAATGGTTGAAGTGGCTCCACTTCGTAATACATATCATCGTTTATTATTTGTTCGTTAGTACCTGAAGGATGGAGCATAGAGTAAATTTTCAAATTTATTTATGATAATAATATAATTTAAATGATGATAATGGTTAGTACCTTCTTGGCCGGAGCCATGCAAAGATGTATGGGATGTTCCCAATCCGCTTTCAGGACTTGCTGATGAGCTATTGAAGATAAAATAAGTTTATATAATTTTTTTGAAGAAATACCCCATTGATTGATTACCCATTTATTGTTTTTCTTACCCATTGATTGATTCGTTGTTCTGAGCTACACTATTTTCGGACGCTGATCGACTCAAACTTTGACCATCATCTGGTTGATCTTCGCCATCGTCATTACAGCCATTGGAATGCCTAATCGAATAGTGTTAGTTTTATTGTACTTTTCAAAAGTTTTAAATGTTGTTTATTTTTACCTCGTAGTACTTTGTGAGTTTTGTTGATTTCGGTTTGACTGTGGACTATGTTGCATAGCATTTGCCTGCTCCAAGTACGTTTGAAATTTAACTAATTCTGATTTGTATTTTTCCAGCTTATGTTCAGACTCATTCAATTGACCCTCTACTGTCATAGGATCACCCAAGAGAGAGTTTGCTTCATAAACAACTTTCATTTTCATTAAACCGTCCCGAGCGGCTGTTTCTGATTGGATCTTTTGTTGAATTTCTTGAATCTTTGCAGTTAATTTTTTACGCCGTTGATTTGGCGGTAAATCACTGTAGTCCTCCTTTGTACCATCCGTTAATAAATTATTCTATATAAATATTTTAGAAATTGAATAATATTATTAAATGTTGCCTATTTTACATAATGGCATGGCATGTTAGGTAATGGAGACAGAGTCATATAGACGTAGCACACTTATACAACTCCAAAATTTAAGAAACCACAAAACAAAATGTTGTTAAATTCAAATCTGTTGTCAACAGACATACAATTGGCATATATCCAACGAGAGTGTCATTTCTAAAATATTTCATTTGGCCCTTTTTCCTATTTATTTTGATTTGATTGTTAAAATTAATCATCTGTTACAATACATTAATACGATGAAGATTTATATCTTTACTTTAATTTGAACTTTATTTAGAAAATCACTCTGCCTGTATCGCGCCCCGACATATATCACTTCAAACTTTTGGCGCGTGGCGCAAACCAAAGCAAAAATAATTCAAAAGGTATTCAAAGTTTTCCAATATCTTTTCATTTGTCTAAAAAATTCTCAATCGGTAAAAAGTGTATCAGTTTGCCCCCACTTCGCTATGTCAAAAAACTTTAAATGAATTTTTCTCGTTGTGTTGATGGAGGTTTTGATTTAATTTGCCAAAAACGTTCATTCTCAAGCGTTCAATTTCATCATACTGTTTACAAAGCACGACGATTGCAAGCAACGTTGACTGCAGCGCCATTAGAGCGGTAGCCAGCCAAACCAAAAATAGCAAAAAATTTGTGTCACTTAAGATTAAAACACACCATACTGAAGTTGCTACGTTGCCCAGCTGTTTTCGTTGTGCTTTGTCTTTTTTTTATTTTATTTAACAATGAGAACTTAAAATTACTTTGTTACTGTTGAACATCCAGAAAAAACCTGGTCGTTTCTTGAGCTTTGTGGCGCTTATAGTTGATTTCAATGTATGGTGATTGAAAACTTTGCTGCTGATTTCCGAAGGACTTGCTGAATCTGGATCCATTTTTGAAAGATCTTCGAATTTGATATCTTGAGGAGGTGTGAAACCAGATTTATATCTGAAATAACAACAAAATATTTTGGAATAATTATTATTATATATCGGTACGAATGATTGGTATTAACCAATTACCTTTCAACAACTTTTTGTGAGTCCTCTTTTTCATCTATTGACTCAGCGGCTTTACTAATACCTGGGGGAATCACATAGAAAAGAATCTAAATTTATAAATAAGCTATAGTAATAGTTTTTTATATTCTAATGGTTTCCAATCATCTCTCACTCAGTCATCCATTCATCCAAATTCTCTCTGTGTCCACACATGCGCAATTCGAAATTTACCCCCGTGTAATTTTTTGGAGATTTACCGTTTTGACCCCCTCTGTGAATTTTTTTTCCCAGATTTGCCATATAAATGTGTCCGTAAGAATAAATATGGCAATACAAAAACTGAATCTGAAGAACGTTACATAATTTTTTTTT